TAGGTACCGCTGGTTACTATAAAGTCAGACATCCTGAGTCTGGGACTGGAGCAGGAGATGTACAGGAGGAGCCTGGAGTATCTCATGATGCCAGAACATAAGGATGTACTCAGAACACACACACACACACATACACTTATTCACCAACTCACAATGATGGTGGAATATCAAAGGAACACAGGAGCCAACTGAAAGAGTTCCCAACAGCCAAAGTTAGTTAGAACAATTTGAGCCACTAAATAAATAAGGAATTCGGGCTTGTGCCCAAAGCATAAAATATCTGAGTCTACACTGATAAAAATAAATGAATGGATTTTAAACCAGGGGAAGAGAGACCAGTCTCCTGTGTGGAATACCACGTTTGTAATAAACTTCAGTATCTTTATAAAAGCATTTGTAGTTGTATATGTGTAGTGAGTAAAAAACCAGAGTAGCCAGGATCCCTCCCATGTACTGGATACGTGACCTGGGCCAGGCTCTGTCCTCAGCATGATGGGTGAAGCTCCCCATCCCCTGGCCTAGGTACGGAAGGGCTTTCTGTAATTTTTCTTTCCCCATTAAATAGGAAAATTGAAAACATAGAATATTTGGGACTGTGGGTATAAACCTTGCATATCTGAAGAACTAAAATGATTTTGGCAGCTTAATTATATTTGAATGTTGAGACCTTGATACTGTAGTGTTTTTAAAATCACTGTGATGCTTGTTTCACTCGTGTGTGTTTCAGAATTAGGCAGAGGAATGTGAATAATAAGGTGGTCAGAAAGAAGGTCAGTTATTGATTAGCGTAGCTGAATTCATTAGGAAACCGAGGAAGCTCATGACATTTACATTTTGATATGTTTATGAAATAGATATTGAAGTTATAACACTTACTTTTGTGGGGAAAAAATAGCAAGGCCTAATAAACCCCTAAAAATGGTGATCGATGGCTATGTGTCAACTTTGGGAGCAGTGGGTATGCGTTGTCTGAAAATACTTCACGCTCCCTTGGTGTGGTAACGGAGGGTCAGATTTCGCCAAAGCCATCAATGTCCATTTTCATAGATGAGTGTTTTTCTTTTTTTCGTTATCAGCTTTATTGATGTATAATTGCAAATAAAATTATAAGATATTTAAAATGTGCATCGTGGTGATTTACCGTATACATCGTGAAAGGCTTCTCTCCACCTAGATGTTAACTAAAAAACCCATCACATCGTGTATTTATTTCTTCTTTTGGTGAGAACATTTAAGTTCTCTTTTAGCACATTTCAGTTATCCAGTACACTGTTACCAGCTGTAGTCACTGTGTTTTACAGGAGATGTCAGGCCTTATTCATCTTACAGTTAAAACGCTTTCGTCCTTTTTCCAAGCTCTCTCCATTTCTCCCGCTTTCCCATCCACCTGCAACCACTTCCCTGCTCTGCCTCTATGAGTTTGCTTTTTCTGGGGGGGTATTTTTCCATTGCTCTCCTTTGTCTCATGACCCTGTTACTGTGATGTCTTCCGGGTCAGTGCAAGGTGGTGTTTGTTGGATCCAAGTCCAGTGCAGGTGTTTGGAATTCCATGTGTTTTTACAATTAATACTGTATAATGAAATTGGCTTATTACATTGACTGTGAGTCTCCAAAATGATGGTACTCAGGCCTTAACATTCACAACTTGCTTCTCAGTGTGACGAATGTCTAAGAGGCTCATGCAGAAACCAAGAACAGTTAGCAAAGGTTAGCAAAATGGATACTCTCGGGGCCTGAGTGGTAAATTATGTCTAAAAATACTGTAAAAAATTGCACTTCCCAGATTCTACTGAAGCAACAGAACTCCCAATTCTATTTCTTCTGGAAAATTTCTGAGGCACTAATGAGTCGTATTGACTTATTAGTCTGGTCTTTGGAATTCTGGTTGTGTCCAGGCATTTCACATAGTAAAATTAGCTGCTTGGTGATGAACTTCTGCAAACTCACATTTTAAGGTATTTTTCTTAATATGGTTCAATTTGGGGGAGTGTCTGATCCTGGTAGTAAGGATAAATTAATAGTATTCACTTAAAAAGGAAAAAAAAAAGGATGGGGAGGGGGTACAGCAGAAAACACGAGATGAATTATAAAGTATAAAACTTTTCTCTTCTGGAGAATTGCCGTCCACTAACAAATCCTCTTTAGGATCCAGTAGAAAGAAGGTTCACTTAAGAAATTACATGTACCTCACACCCACTAGGATGGCTTCTATCAACAAAACGAAATAACACACGTCGATGAGGATGTCGAGAAATTGAGACCCTTGGGCACTGCTGGTGGGGATGGAAAATGGTGCTGGCTTTATGGAAAACAGGATGGAGGCCCCTCAAAAACACTAAAATAGAAGTACTATAAGATCCAATCCACTTTGGGGTACATACCCCAAAGAACTAAAAACAGAGTCTTGGAGAAATATTTGCCCATTCATGTTCACAGCAGTGTAATTCATAATAATCAGGAGGTGGAAGTGGTTGATACATACAGTGGAATATTTTTCAGACTTAAAAAGGAAGGAAATTCTGATACTTGCTACAACGTAGATGAACCTTGAGGACTTTATGCTGAGTGAAATAAGCCAGGCACAAAAGGGACAAACACTGTCTGATTCTACTTACACGAGTAGTCACCTCCATAGAGACAGAAAGTAGAATGGTGGTTGCTGGCGGGGAGGCGGGGGGGCTGGAATCAGTGTGTAACAGATGCCTGGTTTCAATTTTAGAAGACGAGAAAGTTCTGGAGATGGAGGTTGTCCGACAGTGTAAACGTACTTAATGCCACTGAGCTGTACCCTTAAAATTAGTTAAAATGGTAAATTTTATGTTAAGTGTATTTTACCACAATTTTTAAAAAGAAGTCATGTGGCAGATTGTGTGCTTGACCTTCTGCTAATACTGTAATCAGTCTTTAAAAAGTGGTCAGTACTGCTCTGGGTCATGAGGACAAGCCCCGTGGGCCGGGGAAAATGCTGGTGTGCCGCAGAGCCTGCAGCCCCAGGAATAGCGGCCTGGGAGCAGGAGCCCTGGGGCCTGCAGTGGGAAGGGAGCTTGCTTGCAGAGCTCCGGGGGTGGGAAAGAGTCCAGGAACACTAGGGGGGAGCAGCAGAAGAGGAGGAGAAGAAAAAGCCAGTGACCCCTTGTCTTGGGTATTGTTTTACTGGCAGGTGCTCTGGAATAAACCTCAACAAATACTTTAAATTTATGTTTTGAGGGGCACCTGGGTGGCTCGGTTGGTTGGGTGTCTGCCTTTGGCTCAGGTCATGATCCCAGAGTCTCGGGATTGTGCCCCACGTCCGGCTCAGCGGGGAGTCTGCTTCTCCCTTTGCCCCTCCCCCTTCTCATGCACTCTCTCTCTCTCTCTTAAATAAAATCTTTTAAAAAAAATTATGTTTTGGAAATAACTTGGCTACACCAACTTTCTATAAAATGTATTGTGATAAGTACCGCGGACACATGAAAATTCTCTCTAGGCTGAATGCAAGCTTTTATCATTCGTATTAGCCACCGTGGGAGCTGGGGTGTACCCAAGACCCATTGGGACCTCTTGGTAAAACTCCAAAATAGGATTGATGGCGCTATGGCATCTCAATTTTATGACACTACCCTAGAGCATTGGGTCTTACTGTTATTTTAAATTCTCTCACACTTTTTAAATGACACTGTCATAATCTAGGGTAATGTATTTTTGAATCCCTGTAAAGGCTACATTGAAGTCTAGCAAGTCTTGTGATTTGGCATCGCATGATGTAGGGGGAGCAAGAATATCTACCATGTATCCAGCATGGACCAGGTAGAGGGTTCTTCCTGTGGATTGTTTCATTTCGTCCTCACAGAAGTCCCAACCCCGTCGACAAACACAGCCATGGAGGTCAGAGAAGTTAGGCAACTTCCCCCATTGTCACCTGCCTGGTTGGTGCTAAGACTGCATTTCAAACCCTGGCCTTCTCCAGCTGGAGAGGAATAATCACAAAGGAAACCTTTGCAAATTCAGAGACTGTACAGGCCACAGGCTCTATGATTCAATAAAATTAGCAACAAATCATAAAAAAGACCTTATCCAAAATAACCCACCTGGCTCTTAGAGTGCGTTGGAAGCCTCAGCCCTGTCCTGTTCTGCCATGCTTAGCAGGAGCAGCTGCAGGGAGGTGGCCATCGGGGTGACAGTAGTACCAGTGGGCCTGCTTCTGCACCAGGGGAGGAGCTGAGCTCTTCAACTTTGTGTTTGGGAATCAGGAAACTTCCCTTGCATCTGGTTTCGTCTGCCTTTACCTCTCCTCCAGTGGGATATTATAAAGCCAACAAGGCCTTCCCGGATCGCACCTGGAAGACTGGGAGCTCCTGTCTCTTTCTCCCTTAGGATTTTCACTTACCAGTTTATCAAAAAGAAATTGAAATTTGGTTCTTATGTATCAGTATCTACCTCGCCCTTGGAATTTCTTTCTTTAGCCATGCTGCAAAATTCTGCTACCTGCAAACACTCCCAGGCCATGGAGGATAATGGATATAAAGCTTAGGCTTCAAATCCCTGCCCAGGCCCTTCACAGCCTGTGGATTTGGATAGGTTATTTAATTATGCCCGGGGATGATCATTCATTGAATATATCTGTAGATAACTTCTATTTCAGAAGGTTGCTGTAAACATTTGATGAGCCAATGCATACACAGCAGTGTCGTGCAGGGACAAGGTGGATGGCGTTGCTCACGCACGACCGTGCACGCCTCAACCACTCAGTTGGCAGCTTGCATTGGCACTTTTCCCCTTGTGTGGAATAAAGGTGCAGTGAGCCTCACGCTTTTACTTATTTTCTCTTTTACATGTGGTGTATTTGTGTGCCTTGGGGAAGTAGTAAGACCTTGACTCTTGTCATGGCTTAATTAACTTACTGAGAGTTGGAACAGCCACTGGATTCCATATTGTGTCCTACTTAAAATGGAAGTGTATTAGCTGTAATTAGTGATCCTGCTTGTAAAAAGCCACCAACTGGCCTTTCTGTTCCCCCACAGGATACCACAGGTTCCTGCCAACTCCTGTCAAACTAGCTGGCATCTGGCGAGTCTTTTATCTACAACACAACTTGAAACTTTAATAAGGAAGTTATAAGGTATTTCAGTTGCTTCTGGGACTGTTTCTTTGAGTATATCTCCTTAATGCAAATGTACTATTTTTAAAGATAGACATCAAGGGACAAAGACATTGTAATACAGGAGGGAGAACGGAGAAGGTGTTCCCTTTTTGGACCGACCTTAGCATAATTACTCACTGCATGGGTTTGCTGTTGGCTGCTGTAGCCACTCGCGACAAACTCGGTGGCTTAATGCAGCCCAAGCTTACCCTCTTCACATTTCTGGAGGTCAGAAATCCAATCCCTGGGCTCACAGGGCTAAAATCAGGGTTTCAGCGGGGCTGTGTTCCTTCTGGAGGCTCTGAGGGAGAATCTGCTCCTTGCTTTTTCCAGCTTCTAGAGCTGGCTTCTTACCTTGGCTCACAGTGCCTTCCTCTGTCTTCAAATGAAGCAGTGCAGCGTCTCCAACTTTCTGACTTCCGCCTCCTCCTGCTGATAAGGACTTTAGTGATTGCCTTGGGCCCACCAGGGCCATCCACAATAATCTCCCCTTCTCAAAATGAGCTGATGAGCACCCTTAATTACCCTCTGCCATGTAATCTAACACATTCGCAGGTTTGTAGATGCTAGGTTCGGGATACCTTTGGGGGGCTCTCATTCTTTCTTACCTCATCTGCTAAAAGCCTGTATTTGAGTGAATTTCCGTAATAATTGGTTGACTGTATTGAAGCCATGAAATATTAAAAAGGAAGAAAAATCCTTTAGACCCATAGTGAACTAGATGATATTATTTTACTAATTCAGACTGTATGTTAAAAATCAAGGTAGGGAGGGCAATAATTTCTTTCATGTAGTCTTAATTTCTTTTCCTACATGATTACTCTCTACATTTGTTTGCCCATAGACACATATATTTTGATAGGTCTGTATTCCACGTGTGAACATACATATTTTTCTGAAATTCCAAGTTAATTTTCTAGGGGTAAAAAGCTACACCGTTTTGCTCTGTCTACTTATCTACCTATGTGTTTTGACTTAAGTTCAAGAAATTCTATTCTGTCCATGTAAGGTTTATATTGCAAAGTGGGATTGGCAGTCTTCTAAAGCTCTATGACTCTGGTCTTTTCGGCAGTGGGCTAAATTGGTTTGTTGGTAGAAGGGTAAATGAGGCAGGTGTGTGTGTGTGTGTGTGTGTGTGTGTATTTAATTCCTTTTTTTTAAGATTTATTTTTATTTAGAGAGAAAGAGAGCATAGGGGGGAGGGGCAGAGGGAGAGGGAGAGAGAGACTCTCAAGCGCACTCTGTGCTGAGGGTCTGAGATCATGACCTGAGCTGAAACCAAGAGGCAGACACTCAGTTGACTGAGCCATGTCCCAGGAGGCAGATGTATATTACCCTTGAATTATCAGTCCGCCCTATGCTTGAGTGTCCCATCACAGCCTCTGTCACACCGTGGGACCTCCCAGACAGTAAGTAGGCAGACAGGCAGTCTCAGGTGGCACTGATCAGGAAGTAAAGCGGTAAGCTGTCCACTAACTGACCTCGGAACAGGAGAGGCACGAACAGTGATACTGCCTTAGATGGGGGTCAGGGGTCGTGATTGTGGGGGTGCTCTTCATGCCTCAGGCTTGACTCACGAGAGCAGACACCTGGGTCCAGCTTGCTAAGCAGGGAACCCTAGTGCCTTGGAAGAATGCTGCATAGGAAGTGCTCAGGGAATCCTGACTGAAGGAAGGAGGCACTGGAACACAGCCCTACCTTACCTTTGTAAAGTATGCTGTAGTGTACAGAGGGTTTTAATTATGACTGTAATTCTCATTCTTTTTTTTTTTTTTTGAAGCATAATCAACATACAGTGTTATGTTAGTTTCTGGGGTCCAACATAGTGATTCGACAATTCTGTACATGACTCAGTGCTCACCACGATAAGTGTAGTTACCATCTCTCACCATAAAACAGTATTAGAATGTTATCGACTATATTCCTATGCTGTACTTACCCGTGACTTGTTTATTTTATAACAGAAAGTTTGTACCAGTTAATTCCCTTGATCGATTTTGTCCCTTCCCCCACTGACTTCCCTTCTGGCAACCACCAGTTGTATTCAAGAGTCTGTTTGTTTGTTTGTTTGTTTTGTTTTCTAGATTTTATAGATTCCACATATGCATGAAATCATATGGTTTTTTTCCCTGCCTTATTTCACTTAGCATAATACCCTCTAGGCCCATCCGTGTTGTTGCGGATGGCAAGATCTCATTCTTTTTTATGGCTGAGAAATATTCTATTGTATATAAATACATCTTTGTATCCTCTGGCTCCTATTCTTTTTTTTTTTTTTAAAGATTTTATTTATTTATTTGACAGAGACACAACGAGAGAGGGAACACAAGCAGAGGGAGTGGGAGAAGGGGAAGCAGGCTTCCTGCTGAGCAGGGATCCCGATGCAGGGCTCGATCCCAGGACCCTGAGATCATGACCTGAGCCGAAGGCGGACACCCAACGACTTAGCGACCCAGGCGTCCCTCCTGTTCTTGAGTCCTTTCTGTGCTGGACAGTGTGCTTAGGGCATTTTTTCACAAGCTCCCAAGTGAGGTGCTCTTATTATCCCATGTTATACGAGAGGCAGCTGGGCTAACATGGCAGAGCGGGACTCTAACGCATGTCTGTATGACACCAGACCTCACCCTCTTAAACACTACATTTTCCTGCTTCTCCTGAGCATTAAGACTGTCTTGTGAGACCGGGCAAGTACTGTTACTCCCATTTTACAGAATAAGCTGAACTCTTCGGTGGACCTAAGCGTGGTTTAGCTAAGCTTAGAATCCCAGCCCCTTGACTCGTGTCTTCTCTTTATCATTAGGACCGAGTGGCTCAGCTTGGTCCCGGAGACCTCCATGGAAACACCTATGATCATTTTGGGGTGTTGGAGGAACCCGGGCTGTTATGAGTAGTATGTAACCCCACCATAACCCAGCAAGATGCAGTTAACAGGATTGTTTTTAGAAAGAAAATAGGGTCCTAGAATAGGGTCAATGTTATATTAGGAATTAGGGAAAACTTTTGAGCCAAGAAAGTTTTTATAGCTATTTTAGACCTTTTTTTTTAATCTTCTCCCACCTAAATCTTGAAAAAGTAGCTGCGTTTGCTAGGTTCTTTGAGGATTTCTTTTATCCAATATGACATGAGGTTCTTGCTAAGCTCTATTCTAGAGCGGCCGCATGGCATTTAAGATAGGATCTGGCTGTATAATATCAAATATGTGGCTTTTCTTTCTGTTGGTTAGACCTACATGATGACTTAATTAGCTGTAGTTAACAAAGGCAAAAATGAGGTTTCTTGAACTGCCTAAGCTGGAGTGATAAATGTGCATAATTCTTGGGATCTGACCTCTGTGATTCTTAGACTAAATCAGAATAGTGTCTCACTTAATATTCAGCAGTTAAAGTGTATTTTTTCAGACTTTCTTCTGTTAAGGCTTTTTGCTTTTAGAAAATTAAATCTAATTTTATTATGGAATAATCTTGATTCAGCTGCATCTCTTTCTATTCCAATATATCCTACATGCTGAGGCAACTGACTCTTCACTGAAACTAACATGGCCTCCTGTTGGGCCCCTGAGCCAAAGGGTGAAATTTGAACTCTTGGCCAACCTGCAGTTCCCTCCAGACGGGCCTCCAGGTGGCTTTTCCAGCCTGTGTTGGCAAAGAAAAGAAAGATGAAACCTCTGCTGGGATACAGGGTGATGTGTAGGGTGGGGGAAGGGTACTGAATTTCACATTGAAATGTCTTAAAAAAAAAAAAGAAAAACAAAACCAGAGGACATCCAAAGGAGCTCTCTTGCACTGTTGGTGGGAATGTAAGCCGGTGCAGCCACTGTGGAAAACAGTATCGATGTTCTGCAAAAAGTTAAAAATAGAACTACCATATGATTCAGCAATCACACTACTGGGTATTGAGCCAAAGAATACAGAAACACTAATACAGAGGGGTACATGCACCCCTAGGTTATTTACATTATTTACAATAGCCAACTTATGGCAGCAGCCCAACTGTCCCCTCGACTGATGAATGGATAAGGAAGATGTGGTATATACATACAATGGAATATTACTCAGCCATAAAGAGTGAACTCTTACCATTTGCAATAACATGGCTGGATCTAGAGAGTGTAATGCTAAGTGAAATAAGTCAGAGAAAGACAAATACCAAATGATTTCACAAAACAAGCAAAGGGGAATAAAGAGAGAGGCAAACCAAGAAACAGACTCTTAACAGAGACAGAGAACAAACTGATGGTTCCCAGAGGGGAGGTGGGCGGGAAGATGGGGGAAATAGGTGATGGGGATTAAGGGGTGCAGTTGTCATGAGCACTGGGTGTTGTATGGAAGTGTTGAATCACTGTGTCATACACCTGAAACTAATATTACAGTGTCTGTTAACTGGAATTAAAAACTTTAAAAAAAAAATATCCAGAGATACATTTTCTGTTTACTTTTTATTTTAAATGACTTTCTGGAGTCATTTATTCTTAATTCTTTTGCTTAGTAATGTGTTCCTACCCTCAGGTCCTTGCTCACACCCTTCTGGCCTGGAGAGCCCCCCTCTGCCTCCACTGCCCCCCCAATCCTTCCCATCTTCTAAGACTGAAATCAGCCTCCTTTCCCTTTTCTTCACATCCCAGTTTCCTGCCATGTACCTGGTTCAGCATCACCTCTTTCCATCGCCCCTGCTTTTACTCCCCTCTCGTCTTCTTTCCATTGGGACTGCTGTTGATTGGCTAACATTCAGAAGCACTGGAGTAAGGCGTTTATTGATTGGTGGACTCCATTGGGGTGAGATGGTTGTTGATTGGCTAGCGCTTTGAAGCACTGGGGCAAAGCACCTGTTGATTGGCTGACTTCCCTGGAATGAGGCAGTTATTGATTGGCTGGCCTCGTGAAGTTTTTATATTGCTGGGAAGTTGTCATAAGTCAATTAGAATAGGTTTGAAATCCATTACTATCATATTCTAGGTGCAAGGGAACTTTTAATTTTCATCCTAGATTTCCTGGGTTGGAATAAGCCCATCAAAATGCAGATCACACATTAGACCCTCACCCAGCCACCTACCCCAGAAGGGGGCACATGAGCACAGATCTGGGAGTCGACAGACCTGGGCTCAGATCCCAATTCTGTTATTCAGCACATCACTTAAATCTCTTGTGATCCTCAGTCTCCTAAAACATAACACCTCCCTGAAAGGTGGGTGTTCTGGAGATTAAATGAGTTGACCTGTGTCAGGTACTCATCACGGCCTCAAAATTCTCATGATCTTCCACAGGTCTAACAACCCAAGGAAAGCATCCTGCGGTGGCATTTTGTGACTCAGTTCCCTCTTACTTGGTTTTTCTCTTCTAAGGACTGTCAGAAAGATGAACTGTAAAAACATGCTCAGACCTCACTCCTCAAGATTCTGATCTAATTGGTTTGTGGTAGAGCCCAGACACCATATGTGTTTAAGCTACCAGTGATGTCAGCATACACTGAAGCATACCCTGCCTGGCTAGCTCCTTACTTAACTGCTGTTCATGCAGTTAAATCATGCAGGAAAGTAATACATTGCTCTGATTGGCCTTACGTGATGGGCTGATCTTGTTAAAAACTCTCTTGAAAACTGGGTAATTAAGAAACTAGCCTGGTATTCAAATGGGATATTCTCTGAGCCCCAATCCTATTACTGCCCTCATTTTTTTTTAAAAAAAAAAAAAAAAAAGAAAGAAAAACTGCCTTTATGACTTTGAAAAGTTTAACCCTGACAGAAAGGTCAGAAGAGAGAGAGATACATAGTATGGACTGGAGATTTCCCAAAAAGTATATAACAAAATGGTCTACAGTTTGGAAATAAGCATTGTGTAAACTCTGTTCTCTTGGATGTTGCATACATTATGCATAAGGATTATTAAATATTTCCTCCTTCCTGAAAGGTTTGTTATCTCTAAATTTGGAAGTTAATTCAAGAAACAGGAGAACATGTATTATTTATAAGTCTCTTTAGCATCTAGTAGAAAGTGTCATGTTATTTAAAAATGGTATTCATGCTTCCATGGAGTCAGTGCACATTGGTTCCCTCTATAATCCTAAAGTCATCCCTAGAAAGTAATGAGAAATTGTCTCTGTCAGAGGGGAGGAGGGTTTTAATCAAGAGTCTTTCCATTATCCCTTCCTTCCAAGTTTTAAGGAAGCCTAGTCAGTTGAAGGACTGAATATCGAATTTTTCTGCTGGAAAAAATACTGGGCCATCTTGTACCTAAAAAATAAGGAGCTGCTGACATAGTTGATAACTTTATTCATTTTAGTCATTCAGCTATGCCTTTGCTATATATTACTTCCAGAACTGACTTAACTAGATGTATAATATACTATATTTATTTCTTGTTTTAATAAACTTTATATTTTGGAATGATCTTATATATGGTTCACTCTTGGTGTTGCGTATTTTATGGGTCTCGACAAAGGTATAATGATGTGTATCCACTATTAAAGAATCATACAGAGCAGTTTCACAACTTTAAAAATCTTATGCTCCACCTGCTCATCCCGCCCTCCCCTCCAGCACCTCTGGCAACCACTGATTTTCTTACTGTCTCCATTGCTTTGCTTTTTCCAGAATGTCATAGAGTTGGCATTGTTAAAGAGAAAAATATTCATGACACTTTTTAAAGAAGGATAAGGCAGACTTTACTGAGAGGCATTACTACAAGGGAGTTGCATTTGGGTTCAATTCTAAATACAGGAAGGAAAAATAGGAGTTCATTACAGGGAGTAAGGTAGGCCATAGATGAATGGATGGTTACTGAGAGGAAACATCAGGGATAAAGGAGGGATTCTGACTAAACTGACCTGACAGGATTCTTCCTGAAGGCAGGCCAGGCAATGAGGCATCCCCTGGGTAAGAGTGGAGGATTCTGGCTCAACCAGCTTAGCAGGATTCTTGGTAAAATTGGGACACGAAGAGACAAACATGAAAGTATAGATGTTGAGGCTTAGTCTGGGAAGAGGATTCAGAGGAGTCTGACTAAAGTTTTATCAAGGAGAGGGTCTTCGTGAGAGTGAGACAGTGGGTGGTGTTTACAGAGTTGCTTCTTTACTTAGCAACGCCTTTTCATGGCTTGATAACTCATTTCTTTTTATCACTGAGTTATATTCCATTACCTGGATGTACCACAGTTTATTCATTCACCTCCTGAAGGACATCTTGATCACTTCCAAATTTTGCCAATTATGAGTGAAGCTGCTATAAACACCCATGTGCAGGTTTCAAGAGTAATTTTATTTTATTTTGTTAAAGATTTTATTTGAGAGAGAAAGAGGGTATGAGTAGGGGGAGGGGCAAAAGCAGAGGGAGAAGCAGAGAGCCTGATGTAGGGCTTGATCCAAGGACCCTGGGATCATGACTTGAGCCGAAGGCAGACGCTTAACTGACTGAGCCACCCAGGTGCCCCTCAAGAGTAATTTTACATGTATAGAAAAGTTGCAAAGATAGTACAGAGCATTCCCCATATACCTTTTCCTCCGTTTACCATCTAGTGTAAATCTCTCCCACAGCTATGGTACATTTGTCAAAACTAAGGGATGAACATTGGTATGTGTTACTATTAACTAGATCTTACTCAGATTTCACCATTGTTTCCACTTAATTTCCTTTTTCTGTTTCAGGAGCCCACCCAGGATACCACATTTATTTTAGTTTTAATTTATAAGGGCAGTTTGGGTGTGTGTGTACATTAAATGCATTCATAAAATTCAGCATATCTTGAGACAGTGGATGTGAACATAGCAGCTCCAAGGAGCTGCTGTTACTTAATCAAGTGAACACATTTAATTATGACATTGTTACTTAGAATTTTTGGAAAGTTTGTTTTCGGTTTTGGCACAGCAGGCAGATTTCCCAGTGTACAAAATGAGGATTTGTTTTATTAGGTTGCCGTTTCTAAACAAAATACTGAGGCTTGTTGAAAGAAGGTCATCTTAAGGTTATTTCAAGACCCAGGAGGAAACCGGTTGCCAAGTTTTAATAAAAGCTGTCAGTGCATAATTTTTCAAGTTGATATGCAGGATGAAGTGTTTGGTTGGTTCTCTAATGAGCATCTCCAAATGTTTTGCTGGCAGAAGGACTCCATGAAAGATGACAGAGGAAGTTATTGTGATAGCAAAGTGGGACTACACTGCCCAACAGGACCAGGAGCTGGACATCAAGAAAAACGAGCGCCTATGGCTGCTGGACGACTCCAAGACGTGGTGGCGGGTGAGGAACGCGGCCAACCGGACGGGCTATGTGCCATCCAACTATGTGGAGAGGAAGAACAGCCTGAAGAAGGGCTCCCTCGTGAAGAACCTGAAGGACACGCTAGGTGAGTCTGCCCACTCGGTAGGACCCGGAGTAGAGCTGAACTACTTCCTGTGAGGGAAAGCGAAGAAGCCTTGCGTGTTTGGAGGGGAGAGCATTCATCTTTTTAGTTTGTGTGTGTGTTTTTTAAAAGGTCTGTTTTAAAGTTGACATCTTTCTGGTTGTCTTTTTTTTAAATCTCTGAAAATGAAGCAGTCACGGTGGAGAAATACCATGTTTGTCATTTCCTGGAGATGTTAGAGTCTGGAGTCTTATGGAAGTTGACACTTCTGCGTTGGGGACCCCTGCACGTGTCTCTGTCTCCTGACATCAGTATTCTGGAGGTTCATGATGTGCAGTTACCACCTCCAGAAATGTCAACTGCTCTGCCCGTGTCACCCCATCAGGTCTTGCGTCTCACACAGCCCTCTCCATGTGGCCTTCATGCATACAGTGGGAAGGAGCAAAGAGCACTTTGAACCGCGTGGATTTTTTTCCCCCTCTCCTAGACTGATGATGCCCATACCGCAGTCCTGGCCAGTGTTAGACAGGTGGCCGTGGGTGTGCACCAGTGTGGTGCCAGAGGCTGGCATCGGTCACTCGGGTGCGGAGTGTTGGGAGCTCAACCCAGCTGGTTCGTCATCCGGTTTTCTTCCACGTGCCCTGTATCCCAACATGACCCAGGCCACCTTGAATCACCTAAAGTTACTGGTGTCCGCTCTTGTCTTAGTGTGCATATCCAATGTATTTACAGTAGTGACTGCTTCAGATGATGTGGGGAAGTAACTGTGAGGGCCTCGCCAAAGAACCATGAGCCGAGCTGCCATTTGCAGAAGTTGGTGTTACCTCCTTATGAGTCTAATGTGGGTCATACCTGAGACTGCTGGTTATCATTTAAGAGTTTGGTATGAAATAAGTCAAATTATCACCTGTGTTACATTTACTTGACTTTTCCCTTTCTATTTTTAACAGGAGGATTTGTTTCATGTGGGGTGGGAAGGGAGCAAGTGGGAAAACAAAAGAAAATTATACACCAAATGTAGTGGGTGTTGCAAAATGTTCGTTTTAAATTTATGCAATCTTGAAGAGTCTGCTAGTAAAGTCTCTCTTCAGATCCACTTAAAGACTTCATTTATTGGGTAGTGTTTTTGTGTTAGGGCTTAGGTTATTTCTGTGATGTGGAAAGAGAAATGAGACACAGGCCTGAGTATGAATCACGCCAGTTATCACAGATTCTGAGGCTGATGTAGAAATTTCATTTTGCATGAACAGTCTGATTCTTTTTTCCACTAACCTGATAACCCCTGTAATTTTTTTTTTCCCAAGTCACTTTGAAAGAAACATTGTTGTCCTTTAGCTATAACTCTTAATTAACTTTGGCAGAAATGCAGTTAGCATGAACAGATAAATACCTGAGCTTAATTTTATTTATTTTTTCCAATTTCAGCCTCTCACCCACCAAAGTACCTTCTTTGGGAGCTGCTGAACATCCTTGACTTGTTTCATTTTCTTTCTTACCCATTTTTTAATACTGGGAAATTGAATAAGATGATCAGAAGGGAAATAAGACAAACTATCTAGAAATTCCTTGGAATACCTTGTCATTTTTTTTTTCCTTCACTTGGTAGAAGGAGAAAAGACAAAGCCTCAAATTGAAACCATTAACCAGATGTCTCAGTCTGTGTCTACTTTTTCTCGAGTTGTGATCTGCTTGGCGTGCTGGGAAACTGTGGCCCTCTTGTCATAGAGGAGAGCCTTACTCCACCAGCCGCTCCCCGTGCTGCATGCTGGGTGCTGCGTGCTGGGGGTACTGTGGGCTCTCAGCATAGAGGAACCTCACTCCACCAGCCCCTCCCAGCGCTGGGTGCTGGGGATACTGTGGCTCTCAGCATTAGAGGAACCTCACTCCACCAGCCCCTCACGGTGCTAGGTGCTGGGTGCTGGGCCACTGCCCCGCCCCTGACAGATGGCCACCCAGCTCTGCCAGAATACTTCTACCTCGACAGTCAGCCAGTTCCATTTTTGGAGAACACAGATTGCTCGAAAGCTCTCCCTTAAATAGAATCAAAGTTTGCTTTTCTTTAACTTTTTCCCCTTGGCTCTCAAGAGCTGCCTGAGTTAATGTGTGCTCCTCTCTTGGAAGATGACAGCTCCCCACCAGGCCTCAGTCACAGTTCAGGCGTGCATCTGCTTGGACACATTTGTGCTAAGCATTACGTGTTGTAAAAACACAAATAAAATTGTATTTTCAACATCCGTATCTGTGGAGAAATGCTCCCCCCCCACCACCGTTTTTGTGTATCTTTTTATTTCGTGTTCACCATGTTGCCCCGAAGCCTTGCTTTTGTTGCACCAAGAGAGACTTCGGTATTCCAGCATGAGTTTTCCATTGCCAAAGGAAGTACCAAAGGGAAGGGAGGCCCCTCCCCCCAATAAGAAATCCCCACAGTGGAGTGACTTCTTAATCCCCCACAGTTGGCCCTGACGTGGCATTGTTGTCAACAAGGAAGGTGAGAAAACCTTCCACGGCCTGTCCTGCCTCCCACTCGTCCCTATGGCTAGAAAGATTGGAGCCAGGTGTTTGTGGCTCCCTGCTTTTAAAGTATTGTCACCAACATGCTGTCACAATTACAGTGTGATTTTATTTATTTATTTTTTAAAGATTTTATTTATTTGAGAGAGAATGAGAGAGAGTGAGCACATGAGAGGGGGGAGGGGCAGAGGGAGAAGCAGACTCCCTGCTGAGCAGGGAGCCTGATGCAGGACTTGATCCTGGGACTCCAGGATCATGACCTGAGCTGAAGGCAGTCACTTAACCAACTGAGCCACCCAGGTGCCCCTACAGTGTGATTTTAGTTGATGGTGCAGCCAGCAGAAATTCTCTCTAGTGCGTATTAGAAGGAGTGAAAATTATGTTGAAAACTACACGGCATTGTGTCGCCCTTCCAGTAGCTACTCATGGTGTCATCCACGTTTGTGATTTTTATGCTATGGAAATCCACCTGATTCCTCAATCCGGAGTAAAATTTCCCTGGCAGGTGCCTGGTTTGGAATAAAATAGCACCGGACTCCCCAGCAAAGTCACAGTGTTATAAATGTGTTTACGTCTCTGTTGCAGAGAACTGGAACTCTGTGGAGCTCCCTCCTGCTTTCTTATACCCAGTTGCTCTGTTGAGGTCAGTGGAAAATTCAGTTTAATCACATGCAATACTTGGTTACAGTAACTTCTAGAAAGCAGTACCTTTGACAGAAAGATCTCTGTTAGGAAAGGATTCACATTCTTTCTTTTCCTTTAATAATTTATAATTGAATAAAACAATATGAGCTCTTATTTGCACATGAGCAAAACATTTATACACTGGATCTCCTCTCATACTCAACTTATGATCATGAATAGTCAAAGAGAACTTTTCCGCGGATAACAAGGGGCAATTGTTAAGATTCTCCTGGCTGAGCCCACTTGATGTTTTGAAGGGCTCAAACCGTGCAGTTCTTTGCTTTGCGATGAAGAGCATTCCTGGTCTACACTCTGGCCTTGACATTGCAGCCTCCTTATTAAATCATGTAGGTTAGGTGTTTTAAAGCACCGTGCTGCATCTTTTGAGATGAGGTGGCTGCTTCCAGGGAGGTAGTTTTCAAAGATTCTCCCTCAGACTACTGAAGAACGATTTTTGTTATAACTTCATGACAGCAGCTGGGATCCAGCAAAGCCCCAAAGGTTAACTCTGTTCTCGGTGGTTCACTGAAGTCCATGTGCTGCCTTGGGTTGCCTAAAACGATACGGTTGCATTTAGAAGCTATTAGCAACCTCCTCGGGAGGGTTTGTTCCAAGGCACACATGCTGTTTGCTGACCACCTTTCTGGGTATCTGGAGTCAGAGTGATCCCCCCCCCCCCCCCCCCCCCACCGTTGTTTCTTTAGCGTTTGTCCCAGTGTGGCCATACCTAAGGCCAGTTAGCACCCTACCAGTGATTAGGCCCCGGACTCCCACCCCTGATTCCAAGCCAGACCTGGGAGCAGAGGGAGACTCCCTGATGCTAACTAACTGTAAAATAGCCCTCGGACCCTGCTGGGCTAATGCTTTCAGACAGGGAGGGGGCAGTTCCTATGGGTGAAATTCCCAAGGCCCCTAGAGGCAGAGCCATGCTGGGATTGACTTCAGGTGGCTACATGACTTCCCCAGGAACACACTGCTAGTCCTGGTGTGGGATGGAGATGGGATTTCATCTCAAACTTGAATCCAAATCCAAGTTGAATACCCGGATTTAGTGGGTAGACCTCTGATAGAATTCTGTTGCAGAGACAGGCAGTTGGAATATTAGAGGAGATTTTCTTGAAACCCAATCCTTTATTTTAGAGACGAAAAACATACTAGCAAAACTTGAATGGGCTCAGAGAATTGGGAATAATAACGCATTGATGTTAACTTCCTGATTTGATGGTTGTATTGCGGCTGTGGAGGAAAATGTCTTTATTTGTAGAAATACACACTGAGCGTTTAGGTTTGTTGGAACATTGTGTAGACAGGAGAGTGGCTCTCAGATGGCTCAGGGAAAATAAGATTTTTGCGCCATTGTTGTAACTTTACGTTAAACTGAATGGACGGACGTGAGTGGTTTGGGGACCACCCCAAGGGTCTAAAGTTGGCTTGTAGCAGAGGAGATATAACTTGGGCTCCCCCACCCTCCACTTTGTCTAGGCATCTACTTATCCTAAATTTGGCTTCAGCCTTTCAGAGATCAGAGTATCACTGAGCACCTGCTGCCATTGGACCTAAAATGTAAGAATAACACCGGGTGTAGACATGTCCGACTGATGCTTCCTGAGAATGCTTTCCCACAATACTTGAGAACTTTAATTATCCAGAGTTCTGTCCTTGTCACTAGCTTGCAAGTGAGAGGATCCCTGCTGCTTGCTGGATTAGCCCGGACTGTTCAGTCAGTTCAGTGTGTTATTTTTCTGTTGAAGTGGAGAGAGGGAGAGTGATGGTCAGAAATGACCTCCTGGGCTCACCGCTTCCACGAT